TTTAGTCTATAAGATATGTAAAATACAGAAGCACAGCATGAGACCAAAAAAATCTAGAAAGATAGTACCTTATGAGGTCTCAAATAATGAAATTTGTGCTAGTTTCAGTATGCTTGAAATTATTCAGCAATTATATGGTATACCTTAAGATGTATCCATTACTGTATATATGGCTGTCAATAATAACAGTTATATTTACAGCCATTTATATCCTCAAAAAAGCAGGTATTTGCAGTTTTTTTAAATACCTCCCTCCTTAAAATTAACTATGATACTAATTATTTTTTTTAATTTTATGAGTACTTAATAAATGCTATTAATTCAACTTTAAAAACTCAGACCCTAGTAACTCATAAAAACAAATCAATTCACTTTAAGTGGTAAAACTGAAATTTGCTTTCAGAGGAAAACTGGATAGGAGTAAAGACAAAACACTAAATTATGTCTATAAGAAGTGACTTTCAGAGATGTGTGTCATATATTGACATGCACATGTATACACTTTCTCTCTTGAGCAGTGTGACCAATAAACTTTCTTCTTCTAAGTACATTAACATCATCAACTTTGTTAACATAAAGAAATTTTGCTGAGTCACACTCTGTATGAGAATGCCAGCTTATCTCTTCTGAGGCAAAATGTAAATAGTATGAGGGGAGAATTTATTCTCAGAAGAACTAAATATTTTTTCTAAGGTTTGTTCATTGTGTTGTTAGAAGAGTGACTTGAGAGCATTTCTTTATCATATCCAATTAAATATATATATTCCCTTATACAATAATGAAACAGAGTAAGTTAATCTAAAACTGCTTTTTATACAGCAAATTTTCATTAAATAAATTTTTCCCATAATTTCCCAAAATAATAAGCAGTTAGCATTTCCCCTTTATCTTCTTTACTCCCCCAGGAAATTCTCAGGTTGCAAAATCATCCATTGTATTTTTTCTTTTAATGTGATTTTTCCTCTAGTATACTGCAATGGTAGGTACTTTTGAATATGGGGAAAATCAACTATGACAGCATTTATTAAATGTTCAAGAACAACTTGTGTCTAGAACTGACCTGTCAGCTCTCATATGGTGCAAAGAAAGGAAATGAAACCTAAAGTACAGATGAATATTACAGGTGAATAGCCATCTGTATTTTACAAGGCCACTAATTAAATCAGTGAATTTTTTTATGCCCTGGTTTTGTTCTTGATAATATAGATGTTTTTCCATGCTTTTTTACACTCTTCATGTCACGTTTTTAAGTAACACTATCCTGCCAATAAAGATTATATGATTTTTAGTTCTCATGGATCTTCATTTACCAAACAATCAAACTGTATAATCTTCATTGACTTCTGTTCTGTTTCCATGTCACAGTAAGCCAATGTCAGTTGTTCAACACTGTTAGTTTCCAAGCACTATAAAGTCTAACAGGCTGTCAAAATCATGCTGTCATCATATTGGGAAAGAAATTGCAAGTAACCATGGGAAGGGGGTAGTTTTAAATTATTCCTGTCAACTGATTTTAACAGAAGAAAATCCTATATTTGTAGTCTACCCCAGACAGGCTCCAGTGGTTTTCCCATGTCAATGGAGCCACTGTACCCATTGCTAGTGGATTTTCATGCACAAAACTTGGGGCTGACAGGAAAATGAAAGTGGCTCTTTGGGTTTAGAAGTTACATACTCATTTAATGAAAAAGATTTAATTACTAAGGGTGTGATTCCAAACTCTGCAGTCCTTATGATGAAAACTGAACTGCATTACGCTCTGAGGTTTCTGCTAGAGCACTGAACTGGGAATACCATTCCTAAACCAAGACTGCTCCACCATGGACATTCATAGAATAAAGGGGCACAGCCTGACTCATCATGGTCTACACCTCAGGCTGCAGAGGAATCTCTGCTCCAGAGCCTGGACCACCTCCACCCTGGCTTTCTTCACTGACCTGGGTGTCTGCAGAGCTGGTTCTGTCATATTCTCGCTCCTGTATTGTCTGACTACAATTACTTCCACATAATAATTTTCTCTTTCCTTCTAAATAAAGTTAGCCCACAGGCACTATCACCACCCCTGATGGGCTGCACCTGACAGCACCAAGTCCCTCTTGGAGCCAGGTGGCATTGGACAAAGGGAAGCTTCTGGCAGCATCTCAGAAAAGCCATCCTTCATACCACAACCATGACATACAAACCAAATACAATTTTAATTTTTTTTTCACCCAGCACTACTTAATTATGACTAAAAAGAGTAATAATTTTCCTGAATAAGTTTAGAGTTCACTACCTATGCATGGCACATGATGGAAACACTATATCCAAATTTTAAACAACTAAAGAAACCAACTCATATTTCAAAGTAATTTAACATATCATATTCTTTTAAAAAGCAATATCTTTTGACATTTATAAAATATCCATAGTATACTATAATACTCATGCAACTGGCTTGTACTACCAACTTATGTACTAAAAATATGTTATTCACCATAAATAAACCTCTTGGAAGAAAGTGAGGTTGCCTTTTCAATATGTACAACACACTACTACTGTTAATGAAGCATCTGAATAAAACCTAATCACATTTTTTGTGTTAAGTGCAACCTTTGGTCACTTATACTGCTGGGAAATGCCGGATGGTGCTCATTTTATTGACTGTTAACAGAGTTCAGTTTATCATATTTAACCTGACACAATTTTCTTCTGATCTCATAAGAAGAGAAAGACATGCTCAGGTAACTGGCCCAGTGTTTCTAGTTTTTCTTTGCTTCAGGAATTTATAAAAATGGAAAACCGGGAAAAGGTAGTTTTTGAAAATTTAATGCCATTGTACAAATGTGGTTATTTTATCAATTACAGTGAACAGTAGGCAACATCTAAATCAGTCCTCAGGACCGTTCAATTCACTTTTTTGGCTGTTCTGTCAGCAAATGCAGGAATACCTTTCTGAGACTGGCAGAAACTGCTAAAATTCTTGAAGAACATTGAAGCCACCTTGCCCTAAAAGAATACAAATTTTCAACCAGAGTTTAACTTCATAATCTGGAAAACAAGCAAAACAGAACAAAAGAAAAAACAAACCAAAACAAAAAACCAAAACAAACCAAAAAAATCCACACCCCAAAGACAAAACCATAGTTCTGTCTTTTCTTATCTCACACCCAGAATGTGCCAGCTGATCACCTACACTTGTGTTTCGTCAGATCCATCACTGCAGGAGATCAGTGCTATTCATTCAGTCTTAGACCTTCTGATGAGGCAGACTGATCCCTTGTATCTTTGGAAATGTTTCCCTCATTTAATAGTTTTGAAATAATTTATCACAAGAGATAGAGCTACTTAAAATTAATGATGTTGGGATTTTTTAATTAGGAGGGAATATTTGGATCTGCTACAAGTGCATATGCTTTGGGTCAGATACATAACCACAGAAAGCAATTAAAAGATTAACATTTTCTCCAGCTAATGATCTGCTCTACCACCTACTAAGCTATTCTTTATCTAAAGTCTAGATTAATTTCATTATACCTCCTGTATTGTAGAAAGGTTAAAAGATTGAAAAAGGAGATATGTTCCTTTTGTGTATTAGCGTAATTAGTATCGGTAAGCTTCATGCATTTCTAGATTCACTTTGTTCTATAATATGAAATTATTATAAACTATTTTTTCAAAGATTTGTGCTCTGTAATGTGTTTATTTTAGATTTTTTTAGTTGGTTCTATTGAAAACAAGCTATTTGAAACCTGGGGGTTTCATCTGAAATCAAAATATTATGCACAGGGTTTTTTCTTATTAGTACAATAGCATGGCATGAGAACTGATTTGAGATGCCTGACAAGATATTTTCAATAAATGCCAGTTATTTATTTTGTATGTAAATTCAGACATATTTGTATGTAAATTCAGCCAGGAACTTAAACATCAATATAATTTTGGCTTTCAAGAACTGTTTATGGTTTTGACAAGTAGTCCATATCATTAGGAAAAGTGGAAATGAATTCTTAGGCCCACACTGTCATTTGCTTTTTCTAGTAGTCTAAATATTTTGCAGTTTACTGCATTTTCTGTACTATGCATGTGCCATATGTGATCCTTAGTGCAAGCAGCATCTTCATGCTGTTTGCAAACCCACATTACTTGACAAAAAAAAATGTTCTCTAAATTTACATATATACCTACACATATATAGCTATATGTACATGAACATTTGTAACTTTTCATTTGGATATCAAACAATAATATATCACTATATACCATGAGATATATAAATGCTAGTGTGTTTATCCAGTACATGGAGACAACTGGCACAACCTTTGATAGTCATCTAATGCCACATTGATAGGAATATATTAAACAGCCTCAACTTAAATAACCTTTTTAAAAAACCCACAGATGAATTATAAGAGAATGAAAAAAATACAGTTAAAAGAATGAATCACTTTAATTTTTTCACTTTCCCTGTTAAAAATGAATTATCAGTTTTGTAGGCACTGCAAGACATAGGTTTAGGCTTCTATTTCTATTAACTGGGTTTTCCAGTGCCACCCTTTTAGATCACTTTTTTTGGCATTTTGTGTCTGCTCTGAAGACACTAAGTACCAACCCAAAATAGCTGCCTGTCAAATCCCTTGGAAGATGCCCATCTTATTCAAGCAAATGTTTTCCCACTCCTTGGGATTTGCCTTTTTTAACTTTTTGGCCCCTTAGTTTTTTTTTTTGACCACTTGCAACTTGGGATTCCATTACCAATTGGTTATTTTTGCCCACCAGGGGGCAATTGGAATTTTTGGGTTTTTTTTCTTGAATTCCACTCAAAGTGTATACAGTTTACAGACTCAACAATGAAAATGCCTAAACACTTCAAGACTAGTACTCGTAATGAATTATACATGTGCTAGCATGAGAGGCAAACTTACTAAAAAAGATTTTATTAAAGCACCATAAATTTTTAAACACACTTGCAAATTGTTTCAATATTCATGATTATGGCTATCTATGTTTTATTTCTTTAGAATCAAGGATCAAGAACAGTTTCAGTTGCAAAGCAGGAAGCTCTCTACTAGAATTTAGTGGACATTAAGGAAACATCACTCATTTGATCAAAATAGCTTCTCCCAGATCATCCCAAACAAGTTCACCTGCACCAGGTACTGAGAAAATAAGCAATAGAATAGAAAGATTTTGAAGGTTTTAGCACAATGACATCCAGTGGAAGCTATGCAATTTCAAGCTCTACAATGACTCTGACTTCCTATATGTCACCTCTGCATGGAACTCAAAATACCAAATTAAGTCTCCAGTAGAGAGCTACAGTCTTTCCACTCCATGAACCATTGTGATGAACTGTAAAAATCTCTAGCTAATGCATACTTTGGACATATGTCTGGCTAAGAATCCTTCAGTGAGTGTGTAACTGCTGACAAAATACCTTAAAATCTATACATCCATTAAATCAATCAATTGACACTTCTTTTTCTGTCAAAACCTTCCACATTTATGCTATTTTTGACAAAAAAAAATGAGTGCTCCCATAAAAAGCAACCACTGGAAAGAAAATTTAAAAACTATTTTTTATTTTAACCATTTTAATCTGCATTTTCTGTCAGAAAAACAAAAGGAAGAATAGAGCATAAAGGTGGCAGAAAGGATTTTATGTTTTTTTTTCCTGACACTCCTAGTAAGTGTGTTCTTAAGGATGCTTATCCAAGCATTTCAACACATCATTTCATCAAAATCAGAATATGTCATAAAGCTAAGGAATATTCACTGGAAAAGTTGATTCAACACAGCCTTGAAAACAAGTAGAAAGGAATATTTCAAGGTAGCTCAAATTAGTCCCCAAAAAAGGAACCTGAATTTGTTTACAGTAACTAAAATCACCATCTACTCATTGACCCTTGATATTTCTAATAAATGAAAGAAAAACACTTTTGTGAAAGTGCCTTACCAACACAGATTAGTAAAGCCTCACCCCTAAGACTTATTAAATTTTGTAAATTATTAATATAAAACTATAGTGCTACTGTGGAAAAAAATATTTCAGATGTGACAACAGAGTAAGAAGTGTCTAACAACAGAATAAAAACATTTCCAGCAATGCCTTAAGATGGTGCTTTCCCTGTGAATATGATGTCAGAAGATTTTCATCATTATCACTCCTCTACTAAAGTGCCTTTTTCAGAGACTTTGTCATTGCAGTTGCCATTGCCAGATACAGGACAGCCAGCTGAATAGAGTTTGAAGATCATCATTGGGATAGGAATATATTTATATTTATTATTAAAGTTCAACTATAATTCTAATTTCATAACACCATTGTAGTCAAGAACATTGCACTTGAATGGGCTGTTACAGAGACTCTAGAAAAGCAAACTTCTAATTCTTATAAAATCCAGTTGTTTGAAAGATAGATTAGACATAGGAAGATGGTTAAAAAATATACAGTGTATTAGAAGTCTCCAGATTTTGTCGTGATTTCTCTGGAATAAGGAAAAAGAGTGAAAAGAGGCCAAAGAAGGAGTAAATAAATTTAGGTGCAGAAGCTGCTATGGCCAAAAAAAAAAAAAAATTCTCACTAAAGGATTACATATCACAACACAATTTCAAATTATTATTATGGTGCATATGAGAAGAATAGATAAATTTCATTAAAGTCATGAGATAACATTTTCAAGAGTGCTTCAGGGAATATTTAGAATGGCTTACTTCTCTTGGAGACTTTAATTTCCCTGAACTCCCTCTGTAGACAGTGTGTAAGAGTGATCCCTCCAGAAGGAAATCCACACTGGCTAAGTAGGCTCTTCCTTTGAAAGACAACTATTTGGGAGTCCAGAGCAATGCAGAAACAGTGATAGCCACAAAGTATTTTTTCAGCCAAACACACTTTTCCACAAAAAGCATTCCTTTATTTCATGGTAAGAAAACATTTTTCTGAACTGATCTATTTTCAAGTTTTTTTTGCTTTGATTAAAAAAAGAAATAATGGATCTCTTTTGGCATGTACAGAGAGTCCTTTATTTTGGGAAGGTCAAAGAAACAGTGAAGTATTAATGCAATATTTCATTCTTAAATTGATACAACATTTCACAGAAACAAACACATTAGCACTTTCATATTTTTTGTTACTGGCTAAGTACCACGGTGTAGAAAAAAGCTAGATGAGATTTTTGCCTCTATTCTATCAGAAGCAATCAAAAGCTTATTAAATATCAGCTGAAGAGTATGAAAAAATAGTTTGGGTTTCTTTGCAATTAAACTGCTTTCCTTCTTTTACACTTTTCGGTGCACTACCTGCTGTGGTGTAATTTGAATAATGAGAAATTTTTATTACCAGTTTTAATGGTGAAGAAGGTAGCATGTCAAAACATTTTAAGTTCACAATTTGTATGATTTTTTGGAACAAAAGTTATAGTAAGGAGAAAGTTTTATCTGGATAACTAAACAGAATGACAGCAATACCCTTCTCCCTAAAATGGTGAGGGAATTAAAGTGAGTTTGAGAGATACAGAGTATTTAAATATTTCTGGGACTCCAGATGGTCAGAAAGGTCTCAAAAATTTACTCTGTCCATCCTTATTTCAGTGTTCCTGCTCTGACTTTTTTAGATGTGTATGTATTATATGGATATATTCATCAAGCACATACAATCCTAAAATGAATATTCCAAATAGATAGCTTTAAAATAGATAAAATACATTAAAAAATATAGTGTTAAAATACTCAGAACTGCTTGTTGGTGAAGCACAATTTCCTTCTTTTTTCCAAAAACATTTACTTACTTTAGATACTACTGATATCCCTGCTGATCAATAAACATCAGAATCATATTACATACATCAAAATTGTACCAAAATATAATTGGAATATTCCATAATTTGCTGCAGTTATTATTAACCCAGGAGACTGGGGTCTATAGGATGTACTAAAATCTGAATCAGACTCAAGACTTTGTGCTAAAGCACTTCTATTACAGCACTCTGATGTGGTTTCCATGGAATACTTAAGGGTTAAACATTTCAGTCTTGTTCCTATAGAAGTCATTATCCACAGAAAGCTGAACTGTGCACACACTGTCAATTTAGAAGGCATTTGCACACAATGTCAATTTAGAAGTCATTTGCTTCCAGTAGAATCACTCATTATATGAAGGTAAAGGCAGAGCTATTAGTATCTCCTTATTAGGTCAAATACTCTGGGCAAAGAAGAATTTAAAGTCTGAGATTAAATACCTAGAAAGTCTCCTCATTTTTATGTGGTTGCTTTCTGTAAATAGGGTAAAAGCACTGCTGTGATATGCACTGAAGTATGGGAAAGATTATGTGGGAAAAATGTGGAGGAATTTCTGTCACAATTGTTTGTTTGTATGTTTATTTTTCAACAATATAATGCCTTAGAAAAAAACTGCATTGCCAGTTATCACAAAGAAACTTTTATTTTATTTACTTTATTTCTATAATTTTGTGTGGTGTTTCTAAATTACCTTGACAATATAACTTCTATCATTAAATTCAGAATTATTCAAAGTAAAACAGCAAAAATATTGTGAAGGTTGTTTTCAAAAGGTATTATGACATTTCCAAGGTTGTACATTAGTACAACATCTGCGTTGCAGGAATCACAAAGTAAAATCATAAATACTGATCACAGCTGAGAGACAACTGGGTTACAGAATATGAAGACTAAAAAATGTCAAACTCCCAGAAACAGAAAGAGTAAAAGATGCAGAAGGTAAATATTCATTAATCATATTCCTGTGACAGGAAAAAGGAAGTAAAGGTTATCAAGTAATTTACTTAGTTGCATTAAGTATGAGAAATACAAAAAGAAAAGAAATCTATCTAAACTATGTAAATGGAGTGAGTAAAGGAAGAGAACTTAAAACATTGATCCAGCATATAATCTGTTTTGAAAAAAACAACCAACAAATACAACCTATAACAATTTTGTATCTAACAAGAAGTCCAGTAAAGAATATTGAAAAATTATTGACTGGTCTGATAAAAAATAATATTAATTAAATTAATGCTAAAAATGTTCAAATTTTGTGGCATAGGTCCTGATTTTAATCTCAGCTGAAATAGAATTAAGTTGAATAAATTTATTTGAGAAATAATACATCTAGATAAAGTAACATTTGTTTTGTTCTAAATATATTTTTTTTTATTTCATTTTTTTTTAATATTCTAGATAGTTTCATGTCAGTATTGTAAAAATTATTCCTATGAAGGAGGTAATATTACAATTTTGTCCACAGCATTGTGGTCATCCACTAAGAATATGGGATATTCAATTCTTTTATTTGCATAGGTCTTCATTTATCCCTTTGAATATAATGACCTCAGGAGGCATAAAGACTAAGAGGTCCAAGTAAAACATCCAGGAAAATTGAAATTGTATCACCAGGCCATGCAAGGGTTTACATCCTTTTTTATAGTTTGTTAGTTTGCTCTGTATCAGAAATAAACTAATAACTGAAAGAGAAAGTGCAGCAATGACCTTCCATCCCCCTCTTTAATGCTTTTTGGATCTTATTAGAGCCATTTCACATTGTTTAAGATTGAGCCAATGATCGTGACAATGTTAATGCAAAAAAAAATTAATGCAACAAGATTTCCAATAAGAATGATAATTCCTGAGATATGCAAAAGCACTTGTGACTTTCCCATTCATTACAAATTGGTGAAACTACATTTAATTTCCTTTCCTTTTCAAAGATTTTGCAGCACTGTTTTCCTTCCAAGTCAAAAGGAAAATTTTCAATCAAACATTAACTCCAGATTTTCAGTTCGGAGAGGCATCTTCTTTCCCCAGACAAACATGAATTTTAGCTGACATAATTTTTTGAAGCTCATAATCAACCATAAAGATTCAGTAATTTGTAAAATTTTCCATTAAGGTCAGTTGATTTCCATTCATTTTATGCTAATGAAGTTTGAATTACTTTTTCTAAGCCACTCCCACTTTATGATGCTCAGAGGAAGAGGTAAAAACCCCTTCGCTCATCATTTTAAACATGAAATCGCTCCCTGTGTGGTTTTAAAAGGATGGCTGTTTTATAGTGCAATCC